TGAGATAATAAATGCATATTATTTTAAACTGCCAAATTTCAGATTTACCTTCTTTTTTTATTTTTATTCTTTAAATGATAAAAATTTCTTTTGTGATTTTAATAAATGTTTACATAGAAGTTAGATTTTCATTCATTCATTGTTGCACATTTTACCCCCTCTTCCTCCCTTCCTCCTCCCCAAATTTACTTTTTAAAAAATATTCATTCTAGGGGAGCTCTGGTAGCCTAGTGGCAAGAAGCTGCACTGCAATCCCAGAGGCGCAGGGTTCGAATCCACCAGATGCTCTGCCGGGGAAGGAGGGACAATCTCCTCCTTTACCAGTCAGATCTGATTTGATGGTGCGCACACACACACACACAAATAATAAAATAAAATAAAAAATTCATTGTCACATAAGGTTTACCTTATTTCTATGCAAAACCAAGCACATAAGCAACATCACTGAATAATTAATGTAGAAATTATTGGGTGGGAACCTAAACTCACTGAAAACACAGTAAAATAATATTTTTTTAAAAAGGAAATAACATCTTAATATGTGCTATGGCGTGGGTAAACATTATGCTTAAGAATTTTATAAATTAAATGGGCCAGTTGCCAATGGACAAATATCATATGCATCCACTTATAAACTATCCAAAATAGGCAAATGTACAGAGACTTTGCTCGTGGTCATCAAGGCCAGGCAGTAGGAGCTCTGTAGCCAAATCGTAGGGAATTGCACTACCAACCCAAAAGTATACAGTTTGGACGGGTAGTCTCCCTGTGTCCTTTACAGCCTCTGAAAACCCACTGGAGGGTCGCTTATGAGTCAGTTCTGACTTGACAGCAATGAGTTTGAATTACTTTTTAAGGGCAGGCAGAAGGAAAAGAAGGGGATAAAATCCAAATTCTATATGTTGTTGTTAAGAGCCATTGAATTGTAGATGACTCCTGCTCCTAAGACTGGGTAAATTCTGTATGTTGTTGTTGTTCTTAAGTGCCGTCGAGTTGTAGATGACCCATAACGACCCTATGAACGAAAGACCTGAACACTCATATAACTTTCATCATTTCCCCAAGTTCATAGAGTTTCCAGAGGCAAGCTATTTCAGAAGTGGATGACAATAATTTGGAAACAAAGGGAGCTCTCACAGTCTAGTGGGTAGGAAGCTGTGCTGTTAAACCAAAGGCGGTGGTTTGAATCCACCAGCTGCTCATGGAAGAAAACTAGACAATCTCCTCCAGTGTGATTTACAGTCTGAAAACCTGCTTGAGGGTCAGCTGTGAGTCAATTCTGACTCAATGACTGTGATGGGATAACTGAGAAAGGGAAGACAATATATACCAGACTGACAGGTTAAAATAAGAGAAGGATCTCACTGGTTTTTGAAATCTGGAGTAAGGGTGCCAAAAAAGATTAAACTCTGACCAAAACAAGAAGAAGCAGAGTTATAGAAAAAAGGCAGAACCAGCGTCAAGTTTATTTTTGTGCTCCATTTGCGTCCTTGAAACATGGGAGTCAGGATACCAACTGCGGATCTAAAGAAAATGTAACAAATCTGTGACTACTATCAGGGACGTGCCTTTCAGAAGAGCCATTTCTTCTGATACAAGAAACTAGTGAAAGGGAGCTCTGGTGGCCTAGTGGCAAGAAGCTGCACTGCAATCCCAGAGGTATGCAGTTCAAATCCACCTGATGGTCTGCTGGAGAAGGAGAGGCAATCTCCTCCTGTACCAGTCAGATCCGATTTGACAGTACTCACCCACAAAAATAATGGGAAGGATCTTTTGTGAAAAACAATATATTAAAACTGTGTAAATAGAACATAATAAAATACAAAAGGAAAAAAAGAAAAAGAAACCTAAAAAAAAAGAGAAAAAAAATTGGAAAAAAAAAAGAAGCTAGTGAAGATGCTCTTCCTGTCCCCACTTTGGTGACACGGGACCCGTGGGCCGGAGAAGTCTCCTTGTTGAGTAGTCTCACTTGGCTAATGCATGGGGAAGCCAGTGCCTTCACTGATCTTATGCATCTTAATCTACTTTCAAGGGTGGAGCACTGAGGACCTCAGGCTCGAGCCCCAGGGGAGCTGCATCACTCACTTCACTGGCGTGTCCCAGGTGCCTAGACCGAGGAGTGCTCGAGAAGATCAACGACGGGACCAACAAATCCTCCTTGGCAATGACTCTCCTTCCGGGAACACACCACATGTGCGTCCTTCTGGTTCTGCTTATTGTTTTAACACAGTCAAGGGTAAACATTAACAGGCTTTTCTTAGAATTAAGTGACTAAAACAAAACAAGGCTGCGGAACCCACTAATGACTCCTTGAGACTGTCAAGGTCAAGAAAGATCAAGAAAGACGGGAAACTCTCAAAAGCAGAGCAGACCTGGGAGATATGGCAGTTAAATGTCACACGGTGTCCTTGGGAATGTCTTTGAAAAGGCATTTGTCTACAGTCTGGCTAATAGGATGGTGCCAATGTCAGTTTCTGAGTTTTGTTAAATGTACCAAGGTGATTGTAAGAGGATAATAATGGGGGAGACTAGGTCAAGGAGATATGGAAACCCTGCTATCTCTGTAACTTTTATGGATGTGTAAAGTTACTAGAAAAAAAAAAAGAACGGAAAAATCTATTCATAATCCTCAAAGCAGAGTACTAACTATCCTGCTAGTCAAACTAATACTCTGGCTCTTAATTGCACTCCTAGGAGAAGAGTGTGAATATTCTTGCCGCCCACACTAACACACTTGTTCTTTATACTACTTTATACTGCTGTGGTTGATCTTACTCTGTGAAGAAGCGTGCTAGTGCTCCTGCTATTCACATTCGTTCTAACCTGCCTATCTCACTTCTGGGAGAGGAATGAGTATGAATACTTCTGCTCTTATAAGCTGGCGAGGTTGTGGAGAAACTGGGACCCTTATTCACTGTTGGTGGGACTGTAAAATGGTGCAACCACTGTGGAAGGCAGTATAATACTTTCTCAAAAAGTTGGAAATAGAAATACCATTTGACCACCCAGCAACTCCACTACCGGGAGTATACCGTAAAAGAAACCAAAACTGCCACCTAAGCAGATATATGCACACCCATGTTTATTACTGCTTTGTTCACAATAGCAAAGAGATGGAAAAAACCCAAGTGCCCATCAACAAATGAATCGACAGAGAAACTGTGGTATATTCACACAATGGAATACTCTGATGCCTTGAAAAACAAGGAACTCATGAAATATAATACAAAATGAGTGACCCTGGAGGACATTATGCTGAGTGAAATATCTCCGTCACAAAAGGACAAATACTGCATTAATGCCACTGTTATAAAAAAGGACTAACATTGAGGTTGGGGGGAAACTAAGAAAAGAGCGGATAAATAATGTACACTGCACTGAAACAGATGAAGGAAAGAACTGCTTAAAAGCAATAGATGATTAGGTATTATTTGCATGACAGCAGTGCAGAATAAGAGCTGCACAGTATAGTGGACTGGGGGGATTGTACAACAACGAAAGAATATTTTTCAAAGAGAAAAGTGAATTGGGGAGGTGGGCAGGGAGGAAAATGTGAACAATGAATGAATGGAAATCCATGTTCTCTAAAAATTGTCATTAAAATATCAATTTAAACAAACAAACAAAAGAATACTCCTCTTCACCCCACTTTGGAGAGAAGAGGGTGAATCCTCCTGCAACATTCCTGGAAGATGAGTGTGGCTACCCCATTGGTACCTACTAATACTTCTGCTATTCATACTAATACTCTTTATCACAGTCCTTGGTAAGGAGCACTGGTACTCCTGCTCTAACACACTAACACTGACTCACGTTAACACCAATACTCCTGCTCTTTGTCTTTCTCCTGGAAGAGAGGCACTAATGCTCCACTTACTCACACAAAGACTAATACCTCTGCTTTTTATCCCACTCTTGAAGGAGAAGCACTAATATTCCTGTTAACTCATACGAATATTACTATTTTTTCCACTTTATTCTACTACCTGGGAGAGGAGTTCCCATACTCCTGCAACTCACGCCAACATTAATACTAACACTTCTGTCCTTTATCCCTGTCCCTGGCAGAAGAGTCCTAATACTCCTGCTATTCACACCATAACAATACTCCTGCCCTTTGTCCCGGCCTATAGACCCCACTGCTTTGACTTGCAAGCTAAGGACACCGAGGCAGTGTTGCCACTGCAGCCAGGACGGTGAGAAGACACCATGATGCCAAGCGCAGAGCTCTGAGAGCTGGGCATGGAGCTGGAGACCCACTGTCCCCCTGCACGGAGCGCCTGTGACAGTGGGAGGCCAGCACCAGGGCATGCAGAGAGAAGTGACAGTAAGCGGCCTCTCACTTCCAGAGCTGCAGGATGTAAAGGATGGAAAAGTCGGCCAGATACACACGTATCCCAGGGGCTCCTCTGCTTCTGTTACTTTGCCTCTCCCAGCCTCAGTGTTCTCATCTGTCAAGTGGGGGTTCATTGGCACCTTCTTTGTGGGACCGCTGGGAGGGAGGCACCAAAGAGAGCATACAAAGGGGGTACCCAGTGTCAAAACAGCCTCAGAGAGGGCCTGCTCATTTCTTAGCTCGCGGGGCTGACCTGCCTGAAGTGGGAGCAGGAGATGGAGGAAAAGGACAGAGTTGAGAGCAGCTGCCGTGGAAGGAGGAGCAGGTGCTGGTTGCCTGTTGGGTGTGCGCTTCGTGGAGGGGAGGGAGCAGGAGGGTTAGGGTTAGGGGCAGTGCGCTCATTTCTGGAATGGTGTCGCCTTTCTGGTGACCTTGGAGCACTAGTGATCTCCAGATCAGTGACAGAGACCATCAGGGCGGTCCTCTTTCCTTGGTGGAAACATCAACAGTCTTCTGGGAACGTGCCAGGGTTCTCCCACCTACTGAGGCTGCCGTCAGGAGCCCACAGAGCAGAGGGCAATGGGACGGACTCTCCAGACTGGGCCCCGAGTTTGGATCCTACCCCCGAACCAGGCCCAGCCCTGGCTGAGACCCCCCCACTTACCGGGTGTGAGCAGGTGGTAGGGGTGCTGCAGGCTGCATGCCAGCTGCCGGCTGAGCAGCCTGGACGCCATGACGCCGACCCTTCAGGACACAGGCCCGGTCACACGCTGCTGTCCTGCAACAAAGCAGAGATGCACTTAAGCCGGTCCCACGACCACCTCACCCTCTCCCCACACAGCTGGGGAGGCTCTTCTGACGTCAAGTCCTTTGTTTTTATGCTGAACAGCAGTGTTAATCAAAGCCCGTTTCATCTGCCTTTTATCACAAACCCAGGCAGGAGAATGACGTCCATTTTCCAAATGGAAAAAATTGAGGCAGAGACATAGATGGAGAGCCCCCTGAGAGTGAGCTGACAAGGGCAGGATCTGATATCTGAATCTACCCTGGACAAAGTCGTCCTGCCCTCACAGGCTGTGAGGACTTCGCCAGGGGACCCTCCTGCACAGTCACAAGGCCACTCAGCAGGGAGCCCCCTCTGATCCAGTCCCAGGATGGCTATTCATGGGTATTTGGAGGTCTGGAAAAGCTGGGGCTCCCCTGTGATGTCCAGGGGCCCATCGCGGTGGGTGAAAACATTATCCCCCTCAATCTGCCTTACCATCCAGCAGAGTTTTGACTCTTAACTAAGGGAGTTCTGGTGGCATCATCGTAAGCAAATCAGCTCAAAGCTGTGCTTCTCCGGTGGTTTGAATTCACCAGCATCTCAGGGGAGAAAGAAGGACAGGTATCTTCCTGTTAAGATTCACAGCCCAAGGGGAGCTCTGGTGGCCTAGTGGCAAGGAGCTGCAACTACAATCCCAGAGGCGCACGGTTCGAATCCACCAGATGCTCTGCCGGGGAAGGAGGGACAATCTCCTCCTGTACCAGTCAGATCTGATTTGACGATACACTCACACAAAAATAATAAAATAATTAAAAAAAATATTCACAGCCTCAGAAACCCAGTGGAGGGTCAGCTAGTAGTCAGAACCAACTCAACAGCAAACAGGAACCCCGTTTTACAGACACGAACAAGCGCATGTTTTTGGCTGTGGCTACCGATTGCTTGGGTCTGTCTACACTTGCTTTTACTCATTCAGAAACCAGCTGTCCTAAGTCCTAATCCACAACATAAACAGTCTTCCCAGTATCCTGGAAAACGTACAACCAGGAGAAGATAACATAGATGAATGGTATCTTCTAAGACTCAAATCCCTATGCACATCCAAAAACTTCTCCAATGGGGTAAAAAGGGAAGCCACTGACTGGGAAAAGAGTATTCGGTAATAACATATCAGATAAGGGACTTATATCCAGAATTTATGAAATACTTGAGCACCACAACAAGATAAAGGTAAATAATCCAATAGAA